CAAAAAGGGTGTCATAAGGAGTATTTTATGTCGAATTATGGGATGCAGTGTGTTATTACAGAGCAAAGTATTGACAAAACTTCGAACTTAGTAAAAAACTAAAAACGAATTTTTTAAGAAATCTGCAAATCGTCGGGACTATTCATAGTAATTAGAAAAGGATTCTCAAAGTCGCGAAGTATGTTTAGAAAATACAATTTCACCACAAGACAACTGACTGAAAAGAGACTTGACCGGGAATACTCGTACAATGATTTAATTGGCTGTATTTATATCTCAAGGCGTTACTTCTTCTGAAAGTGATTTATAACTCCTTCTTTTCAAAATTAATTACCTTTGAGGTAGAAACAGGTTATTAAGATCATATTTAATAAACTAGTGCAAGCTTTTCAATAAAAAGAAGTCATTTCTATGCTCGCGAACGGTTAATTTACATAATTCGTAAAATGTTAAAGTGCGGCCCTGCATGGATGCGAAACATGAACTGTGGGCGCGGCGGAAAAGAAAAAGTTAGAAGTGTTTTCACATTTCTTGGTGTGATGAGGTACCGTGGATAGAAAAGGTTAGAAATGAAAGAATAAGAGAACGGATGACTCTATAGAAATAGGCGAAATAGGTTGGTAGGACACCTTCTCAGACATGAAGGTCTAATCAGAAATATATTACAGGCAGAAACGAGAGTTAGAAGGGGTAGAAGTAGACCTAAATTAGATTACTGTTCGCAAGTAGTTAAGGATATGGGATGTTCTAGTTTTAGGGAAATACGAAGATTAGTTCAGGATAGGAAAGAGTGGAGATGTGTGTCCAACCAGTCTTAGGACTGACGACCTTTTGAAAGCTTTTTGAAATATTTTCTCCACAAAACCAAACCTCTATTGTGCTTAGACGGAAATAACTATTTCCTTCAAAGACTACATAAAGGAATCATGATATTTATTTGTTAGATCTATAGAAGACTAACAGGAGTTGTATATTAGATATAGATCATTATTCGTTTGCATTTTGTTTTTAAGTAAACTGAGAAGGTTAAGTGCAGAACAACGTGTACCGCATATAGCACAAAGGTGTTATCACTATTTGTTACCGTTATGGCGTAGTGTGCTTTGCGTTCCGGTAATGCGATGCGGTCGCAATGGCTGTGGATTATTTAATAAGACCATTAAAACTAATTACTAGGAACTTCGTTAGCATGAACATTGCGTCCGACATGCAACTACATTATGTAACCTCATTTTTATTAGGCGGCCACGGTTCATATACGTATGTTTGTATGCACCCTGTTATTGCTGCCGACGTCGAACTGCAGTGTTCGCTACATCTATACGAAACGAGTGTATTTATGGATGGCTGTGTGCGTGTATTCACATACACGTACATGCACGAGAACGCAAACGTGGTTAGATTATTCTGTGGTTGAGATATATTTACGACATGCTTTTACGCGACACTGCTCCCCTGATGTTTTGTTTCGTTTTGTCGATTTTTTGTTTTTTGACGAGTCAAATCCACTTCAACATAATCGTGTGTCTGCTTCGTGATTATTGTATCGTGAATAATCAAAAGTGAATGGTGATAACACTATTAATAGTAACATCGGCTGTCACTGATTACAGAGCTTATTAGGTATGGTTGTGTATGGAGGCGCATGGTTAACTACTGAGTCAATGTTTTCGTAATGAATAATATACATGCAATAGGAACTGCCCCTCGCGCACGAAAAGGCTCATGGAATTTTGAATTATCTGTACGCTGTTTCTCTATTATTTTTTATTTAAGGGATAGGATGTCGAGCGCCTCCGCCATATTTTATTTTTATTCGCTTCCTTAAGCCATTTTGTAAAACAATGCTAAAGTGAAGGTATTTAGAATCTGGTAAATAAATAAAGAAATGAGTCATCATGTTGAACAGGTAGAAATTAAAAATTCCAGTGGCGTAGTGTTGGTACCAAATTATATTTAAAGAGGATAATAATTGATTACGATTTCAATTAATTATTATTTGTCCTTCAAATAAATGCACATTTATTAACTGTCGCTGTCACTGTCTAGTACTACTACTGCTACCACTGCTGTCATCGACACCTGCTCGAACTATAATTGACTCAAGAACAGCATCAGTCTGAAAATCTAACTTCTGCTCTTCTTTCAAAACATGCTCAATAGCTTTCTGCCAACTTAAAGACATAACTTGGCCTATCGCAGCATCTAGTAGATGCTGCCATTTTAAATGTGGTACATATCCTTTCACCTGTGCCCATATTAACTCTATGGAATTGAGGTTGCAGTGGTACTAAGAATACCAGTTTCACTTTGATGCCGTTATTGTGGAATGGTATTCCTTTTTCTTGAAGCCATCGCTGAATTTCGGCCTTCCGACTTGCTGTAGTGGGAATTGCATCACTTCTACGACTATGGTACGGGGCATTATCCATTACAATAATGAAATTCTCCTCCACACGTTGGAGAACATTGTGGAACTACTGGTCGAAATGATTCGCATCCATGTCTTCGTGATAATCGCCGTTTTTTTTTTTTTTTGATAAAAATATTGCACTACTGTCCTTAAGGAAACCACTATCGCTACCTATATGGGTCACAATCAGTCGTTATCCTTTTTCTGTCGGACATTGGAAGCCGGTTGATTCACCCTCCAAAATGGCTTGTTGACTACTTTTAACTGTAGTATCTGTCCACACTTTTTCGACAGTATGTCCAAAGTTTGTTCACGTTTTATCCGAGTTATATATCTTGCACTTTTGCTGACGCAATCGTTCTGTAGCGATCTTTCCATCGTGCCATATTAGTACAAAATGCTAACCCAAAGCACTACAGTTCGGAGATACGTTCGTCTCTCGTTTTTCTGTTAAATCTGCTTTTCGATTGTGTCTTGAATATCGAATTTTCGTAATGATTCCCGGCACATCGATGGAATCAACTCATTCTTGTGGATTTCACTCCTCACGGGGTCAAGAGTGGTAATCTCACCTCATCAGGATAATGTATATCTCCCCTCCTCTGTAGGTTTTTGTAGTCGTTGACTCTATGCAGAGATTACTTTATCTAGAGACCCCCCCCCATTATCATACTGTCACTCTAACCCAAGATCCTTTCGTCCCTTGCATTGATGTAATATATTAAACAATTAGTAATAATTATGCAATTAATGATGCACATGCAGTATTTACGTACTTTAATGAGCGAGGTTTGTAGGTGCCTATCCAGTTAATGATAGAATGAATAATTTTGTTAAATTAAAAAAAATTGTCTTATGAAACCCAGACCCCCTTATCTATGAGACCGGGGGCTATAGCCGCCCCCTCAAAGCCCCCTTTATAAAGACGGCACTAATAGTATCGTTTCATCAAATTCGACAATCAGAGTGTTTTGTGGAAATCAGTAGCAGTAAAATGCCGTTTTGACTCGCTCCACCCGATTGGACGAAGGACCAATCACGGCGCGCGCATTATTGATCGAACGTCGCAATAGACGCCATTTTACCCCCGCTGCTATCCTGTTTTCACTACACTCATTCTAACAGGAAGAATTTCCTAAATTCGGGATCTTTATCGAAATACTTAGATACTGAAACTGTGTTGCCACGCAGATGATTACCTGCAAGCTTCAACAAGTTATATGCATCAAAAGCGTCACGTAACGTGTATCCTTGATAATAACTTTTTGCTAAAGAAAAAAAACAAACATACGCATATGTAAATATTCTTGACTGAAGAGATTAGATGTCGAAACCTGTATTGGGTTACCTTTAAGCGTTTTCATGCGGAATTCTGGATTTTACTCCAACGGATCCACTAGGAAGAAAGTTTGGACATCCTCCCATCGAGTGCAGAAAAACTAGTTTGTCAATTGTTACGGTGATACCGTACGTCTTATTGAAGACCATTATTGCAAAAAATGGTCACGAAAATAACAGATGTTGATCAAGGATCTTTAAAGGATTAGGGTCCAATTTTTTTATAAACCCCTACTTATTAAAATCTTGGATCCGTTACTGTAAAAAACGATCACGAAAATAACGGATGATCAAGGATCTTTAAAGGATTAGGGTCTTAATTTTTTATAAACCCCTACTTATTAAATTCCTGGATCCGTTACTGTAAAAAATGATCACGAAAATACTGCATGTTGATCAAGGATCTTTAAAGGATTAGGGTCCAAATTTTTTATAAACCCCTACTTATTAAAATCCTGAATCCGTTACTGTAAAAAACGATCACGAAAATAACGGATGATCAAGGATCTTTAAAGGATTAGGGTCTTAATTTTTTATAAACCCCTACTTATTAAATTCCTGGATCCGTTACTGTAAAAAATGATCACGAAAATACTGCATGTTGATCAAGGATCTTTAAAGGATTAGGGTCCAAATTTTTTATAAACTCCTACTTATTAAAATGCTGGATCGGCTTCCAGTTTCAGTGTTTCAATTCCACAGAACACCGTGTCCTTTTCTTCTATTACTAGTTGCATTCTTTTAATACGAATAATTAACTACTTGCTTTCTGGTCAAATCTCACCATCAAACGACACTAAACTTACCAAAACACTGGTCTCCTTGATGTGTTAACTGATAAAATTTATTGATGTAAACGACAGAAAGAAGATCCAAATATTGAGGGTACAACGGTTAATGCCTAAGTTCAGAGTCAGTCAGTCAACTGTTTCTAAGTCATCATATCAATAAACACTTTAGAAATAGAAAAGTATGAACCCAAAAGTTCACCAATGGAAACAGTCAGGTAATGGCGATTATACCAAGTTTTCAATGTTACCGTTCCATTGTTTGCATTTACCTAAACATTGTTTTTCGATCGATTTGGTATCTACTTGAGATAAAAAAAATGTATGACGATGGACTGAGTTCGAAACGTCTCATCTAATGTCTCCCGGCATTATTTTCTTTCACTCTCAATTAATATCGCACGTATTTTATGAATCTCTTCTATTCAAATTAAGTTTAAACCCTTTTTCATTTGTTTCAGAGTCGAATACTTGAAGATGCTTCAATAGTTTGTAACTCCTGGTCTCCAAAATGCGTAAGTACTCATCTATTTTCGCTACTTTTTAGAATGTAATTGTAAAAATATTTAATATTGTATTCTAATAGTGGGTACAGTTAAAGGAGTAACTCAATAAAGATTGCATACCAGTTGTGGCTTTTGCAAATTGTACCTAACCTACCCCAGCACATTTTTATACCCAACAGTACAATTGGATCGTTTTCAATAATGTGCTAATATCTATGATTGTAGTACAGGTAGCAAGTATGATAATAATTTGTGCAGCTATGTCCTCTGGAGATTTGACTTCCGGAATTAGCTTGACTATTTAAACGTCTAATTAAAGAATGGAACTAACTATCGCGCTTGCTTCCGATATCCAGGATGTTGTCATTGAATAGGAATAGTTAATTAAAGATCAGTAATATTTTGATGTGTTTAAATTACAGTATTAGGTCGTCCTAAGGTCATAGATAGGATGAAGTAGTAGTTGTGGCTTAACGACAGGTGACGGAATAACTAGGTTAAATTAAGGTACAGTATGCAGGGACCCTGATTCACGTAAATATATGAAATGCTGTTCATCTTGGGCTATGGTACACTGATGTTATTCGCCAATGGTTTAGGTTAAGTTATGGTATAGGTGAGTGCCATTATGAAAATATATGTGCTGTGCACCATCAACAATAACACCCATCTGTCCAAATTTGGACGGATTCGACTGGTGGACGATTATAAAATATCAACTTTTACTATAGTCGCTTCGTTCAAAATTGGTACAGTTGCAGTTCGTTTCGTCTTTCAAGCAACCTATGACCGCTTACTATTATGTAGCAACAAATAACTGAAGTACCAAGTTGGAAAAAGAAAGAAGATACGTCCATCCTTAAGATAATTTATTGTGGAATATGCCAGTTTTGGTCGTCTCAACTATATACAGATATTGTAAGAAAGTGGATACCATGGAGAAAACGTAACCTTACAATTAAGATAATAAAATTTTTTCAACCCTTCAGTTTCTGTTTCTTATCCTGTATCTCAGAGTGCACGCAGCATTAAGGAGTTTTGAGCTATTTTGAGCTTTATAGGCACAGGTGTTTAAATGAACAGAATAATGCCTTAAAATCATAATTCCGCCTAGGCGTAAACAGGGACTGTCACATAAGTTGACAGTTTTATTGCCTAAACCGCCACTTTACATGACTCAGACCATACGTATGTTATGCAGTTCTATAAAATTTTCGAAAATTTGTCAGAATTTGTCACCCTAAGACAATCAAATTTCAAATTTTCCGCTTTCCTGTGTTTACCGTGTACATGTAGGTGTTTTTTAAAGTGGTTCTTAAAATTTCCCTTCAATTTTTAAAATGCTTCTCGATTTACCTGGCCCCCTTATCGTTCGATAGTAATTTCATCTCGATAACAATTAAGGTCCATTTAAAGGCGACCGGTTCGGAAATGGCGAGTTGTACCGGAAACGGGCGCCGCGTGCCCCTGCTTTTCCCGTTACGACGGGCGCCTGGAGGGAGAGGCGGCGCTCTACGAAGTTGGGCGCGACTGAATTATAAATGAGGCGTAAGAACCGACTTACGTATAGGCCTAGCACGCCGCCGGTCCGGCCGATGCCGACGGCTTTTTTATTCATATTTCATGTTTGTGTGATTTTTTATATGTATACATTGACTCACTACGATTACACCCACAATGTGAATGTGTTTCCTCTACATGTGCCAACACAATGTATCTTATCGTTGCAAAAGTAAAGGGACACAGTATTTGTAGGGTTTTCGTTGTAGAAAATCAAACACTGGATCATTTCAGACGATCATCAGTCTATGGACTAAAAGGACATTCACTTCCATCGCTTCCTATGGTGAATCAAACTTTTTCTCATTTCTAGACAACTGTTTACTATTTCCGTAACTAATTTGCCCAGTGGTCTTAATCTAGTAGGTCCGGTCCCTCTCTGCCCTTCTTTACTTTCTACTGTTGGTCTTAGGAAGTGCCACACCACCCTATCTTTCTTTTTTCTTATTGTCCTTTGATCTCTTAGCACCGGCGAGCATATAACCTTTAACAATCTTTTAAGAATTTTGCCTGGACCTTCAAGTACCTCAAAACCGGTGAACGTTTGGATCAACTAAATTTTCCTGTTTTGTAGTAATGTATTACCTCCTGCAATCGTTGCACTCATTTCAGAAACGCCCAGTATATAAAATAGAACCTTCAGTTCTTGACCAGATAGAACACGAATTAAAATTCTTTAGTGGTTACTTAGCATCCCCGACACATGAGGATGTAGTCAGATTTTCTTTTGCATGGACTTATTACAATCTCACACAACTTAAAATTGCTTGAGATAGTACCAGAAAAAGTAACGAATTTCTCAGAATTTCTTCCCTGGTGTGCATTCTATTTTTACCATCCCTAGACCAAGAAGTGGAATTTTCTTGGATAAATAATATAGCAATCATGTTGCTTGTTCATCGAAAACAAAATACCAAAAACTCCAATTGGAACAAAGTAATAGATAGTTTTGGATCATTAAATAACAACGACTTATAATTTTGCATTAAGCAAAGCATCATGGGTTACGTTATGTTGGGTTAATTTTTAGGGTACCGTACCAATATTCTAGCGTGGGCATCTCCAACAGAATTTCAATTAAACTCCAATGAGTAACCGAGCGGCATGACCTAGAGCTTTAGACCATTCGGGAGGACGCCGGTTTGATTCCGGGTCCATCTGCCTTGGTCTAAGTTTTTTTGTGGTTTCCTTGGATCACTTAGACAAATGCTGAGGCAGTAATATTCCACAGATAATCTTTCATTCTCTTCTATCTTCATTTCGTCCGTCTCATCTTTCTTACCCGAACCACCACCCACCCATTAACACGATTCCTGAAAGCAGGCTGAAGAGGGCCTTCCGCCCTACCTTCCGGCGTAATCTGGAGGGACTGCTCGCCCACCAGCATTACTAGCTAGTGGGAATGAAACACCCAAAAGTGTTTTTTTTCCAATGAGTGCAGACTGAACGCCGTTGGAATGCATCAAATGGTAAACTACAAAAATTGCCTGACTCAAGCAAAGTTCCCTTTTATTAGAACGTATGGCTTGTGATTGTATCCATGCGTAAGTGGAAAAATTTTGCAAGGAATCAATTTTTGTGGGTAACTGCTTCTACGTCTTCTTCTGGAGCAAGGAATAGCAGATTTCCAAATAAACGGGAAGGAAGAGACACTTACAAATAACAGCCCCAATAATGAGACAAAGTAGTTTCGTTAAACTTTATTGCCCTGTTTGGAAGAGGAGCTCGTTAGGGGGGAAAGTTTCACAAGCGATGAACAAAGGTGGAGGGTGAAATGACTAAATAGCTTGTTAATACGATGGTCGTAACTTAACGGAATGGGGTAATTTGTAACCGACGCGTAAGAAAGATTGTCTGTATTCCCGTCTAAATTAGCAGACGCCGTTGCATGTCGCTTTCGCTGGCCATGATAAATTTGCGGGACTTCCCCGTAACAGCAGATGCCACCGTTACAACTGCTTGGTTGTATCAGACGGAAAGGCAGCAATGAAATTAGTGAGATTATCACTTGTCGTTCCCGTAGTAACTCTTCATCCGTTTTACCAGATTGTCTACTTCATTTTCCTTTCACCCTTGTTCTCAAATTAATCGTTGTAATTTTTTTCTTTAATAGGTACGCAAACCACTTTTGTCAAGTGAAATCAATCCCTACTATCTACTTCAGAAATATAACCTCCAAATACATAAATACGAGGGCGGTTCAATAAGTATCCGTGTTTGAAGACAGAGGACGTTTCTGAGGGAAATTGGTGCTGTCATCGTGTGCTGCCATCTATCAAACCACGCCAAAACGAATTTCAGACTGTTTGATAGGTTAATTTGGATTTGGCAGCCATTCGACTGAGACGTGTTTCGTTATTTTCGCTAAGATGGAAAAAGAGCAGTATCGTTCGGTAACTCGCTTTTTGTTTTTGGATGGGAAAAAATGCGAGGAGATGAAAACAAAGTTGGATACTGTTTATGGAGACATTTCGCCGTCTACGACCACAGTTAGATATTGCTTCAACGAATTTAGACGTGGGCAAAGATCCGTTTTTGATAGGAGCGACCAGGAAGCCTGGCAAACGTTGTTATCATTTTACGGATTTTTTTGGGAAAAGGAAGAACGATCACTGGAAAATACTTCAGAGTTATTGGACCGCTTCGACAAAAAATTGAAGGAGACACGGGCGCATTTGACGAAAAAGAAGGTGCGTTTTCAACACGATAACGCACCGGCACATTCATCAGGAGTTGTTGCCGCCAAACTGCATGAATTACGTTATGAATTTGCTACCGCACACCCCGTACTCACTCGATTTGACTCCCTACGACTTCATCTTGTTCCCTAACATGAAGAAATGACTAGCGAGAAAGAAATTTAGCTCAAACGAGGAAGTCATCGCCGATACAGGGGGGATTTTGGAGAGTTCTACAAATGTTATTTTTTGGAGGGGTAAAAAAAATGGCATGGTCGTTGGGGGAAGTGTATCTTTCTAAAAGGGGACTATGTTGAAAAATAAAAAACAAATTTTAAAAAAAAAAGGTGTCTTCATTTCTAACACGGGTACTTATTGAACCGCCCTCGTATATACCCTTCAAATACATAAATATACTACCAAGTAAATGGTATTTTGAAATACTTGCCGGGGACAAACGTCACTCAACAAAGAAATAAATGATGAATTTATTTTGGAATCTGGTTTAGATGAAGTCTGATTAAATGAGAAATAATGCCATCTCGTACTTCATTTTCGAGTTAATCACATCAAATATAGAAAAATAGCTATCCAACTATAAAAGTTGGAATATAAATGATAACCGTGATACTGCCATTTAAAAATAACTGACAAAAAAGTAGTGTTCTCATTTTTGATAAGCATATGACATAAGATGAATATTGATGAATAATTCGTGCCCATGCGATCTCAATAAAATGCGATAATAAGTATTTTTTGGTAGTTTTACAGGCCTGCACCGCTACCGCCTATAAGCCAATCGCCCGTGGTAGAGGTAATTTAGAATCTCATAGGTCACAACTTTGGGTTGCGCAGCGACAAAACTCTCTGTCTGTTCATTGATTTATTCATTTACACCATAACTTTTTACAGTTTATCAGGGGCTCCGTCCCTAGTTGTACTTGTAGGTAATAGCGAGACCACTTTATGTATTTTAAATGCACAATATGAACGCAACAAGGTTAGTCCCTCGACCATTAACATTTTGAAATACCTCTACTGCGTATTATTTTGTCATTATTAAAAATAAAACTAGTAAGTTGTGTCTCAGAAAGGACACCATAGAGGCAATGGTATTAATTAGGCAAATTAGTAAATGTAAATTACTTGCTGAATAGAAGTAGGTACCAAGAAATTAAGACTCCTTTTTTTTGCTATAAAGAGTTCTGTTTCGATATTTTTGTCCTTGTGGAACCATTACTTGCCGAGTTAAAGACATGATTAATAATTCAAATGGTTTTTGACGACTCGCAGTTCTTGCAAGTTCGACAAAAACTTAAACACGCCATAATGTATATGTCTACAGCCATTTACACAAGCTTAAAGATGTGAGTTTCTCTGTGTAGAAATATGTTTGTTTGGGGTTATAACATGAAAACTAGGGTTGGCTTATTCATAAAATTTGTAAACGTTCAGGCTAAGTTTCCTTTGTGTCCTAAGTACGATTCGGAAGCCAAAGTTTCTTGGGTCCGTTTTACAGATTTCTGCGACCGATTTTCCATTGTGAACTTTCTTGAGAGCTTTGATACCTTTATATACCTTCGCGGGGACTTTTATTCTTTATTTCGGTTGTATAGAAACATAGAGCTTTAAAAATCGCTAAATAAATTATGAATTAGACGACCGTCGAACATTAAGAAGAAAAGCGAGTAGAGACGTTTCTTTAGTTTGATCACAAATTAGGTAAAGATAGTCACAAGCAGTCTAAAAAACGTTAAAAACTGACAAAGCGATTCTAGTAATATTTACATCAAGTAAAATGCCAGAAAAAAATTCCGGGTTGGAAAAATTTGCTTCAGCAGCATCAATAACACTGTAGTTGCCAACAGCTTATTTATTTCCCCAACTAATGAAACTGGTTGTGTAATCAACCAACATTGAATGTTCTTGTAACAAATAGTAACCACACTAATTCTGCAGTATAGTATTAAGTCGAGAGGACTTTAAAGCAGCTTTACAGTCCATTTCAATTTGTTAGAATTGTGACCTTGAAGAAATCTGCTCGAAAATAGAAAGAATACACACTAGGCGTGAGCAAGACAGAAATAGTTGGAACAAGCTTGAACGAGAAGAGTTCTCGATGGGCGGTCTTAGGAGATCGGCTAGAACTGTACAGTACTAGACGAAAATGTTTAGCAATTTCTTAAAACAAAAATGTATATAAATTAACAATAGAAAACAAAGCAAAAGTTTTATAGGTGTGTAGAGCGTTAAGTTAATTCGCTTGTTATTATTTTTGGCTAAATATGCTTTTAAATAAAGCATATTCTTAAATTTTAACGAGGCAGTTTAAATAATTTTGCAAATGGTACTGTACACTTTTGTCTAGTTCTCGCTCGATGATCGGTGGAGAAATGAGCTCCGCATACAAATATGATTGAATTTGGAATTATGCTACGGCGCATCCTCATAAAGGGAAAGGGCATATCACCAACTTCTTGAAACGAACAGTAGATACTTTAGGAGAGTGATAAACAAACCCAAAACTAAAATAGACAAATATAGTCTTGGTCTTGATCCTGCTTGGCCTGAGCCTTGCTGTTCAAAAACCGTATACTGGAGCACATAATTTGCTATGCAAGTTTTGCAAAACTTCGGCAAGTCTCGTCTTTCCTACAAGAAAACTGGGCGCGAGGTTTATTCGTTTGATCGCTCCGTAAAAATATGGAGCATAGTGTCGCATGCCGTAAAAGTTGGCGAAGGAATCATAAATAATTTATGGACTCCCTTTATCATAATTGAAGCGCATTAATTTTATAGCAGGAGGAACGTACTGTTTACATATGCAAGGGAAAGCGTGGGTTAAAAACAAAGCCGTCAGCCGAGAACGCGTCGAAAATAGTGAAAGTTGTTTGTACTCATAAAGTTTTAACTTTGCGTCGAGCAACTTTATCAACTGCTACGTCAAAACGATATTTTTTATTGCCGTCGCACAAAAAGGAAAAGCTGTAAGCAGATACGCGTGGTCGTTATGAAATCGATAAATTAAAACCAAGCAAATTTAAGATATCTATTTGCTTGTCGGAAAAAAAAGAATCATTTCAAAAGACGGTCAATATGTACAGACTCTCCAGAAAAAATTTTGAAGCATTACTACTAATGACTATTTACTTCACTTCGTGATTGAAAGTTCTGAGAAAACTGCAATTTCAATCGGTGACCGCCTTGCACGTGTACTTCGTTTAGTTTCTGTAGCGATGTGACCTTCAGTTTGACCGGCGCAAAGTAGAAAAGAACAGCACTAGGCCAAAAGAGAAAGCAGACAACTCTCGGCCAAGCTCTTAACCGGCGTGGAGCGTACAATCCCTACAGTACTGCACGGAAAAATTGACCATTTTATCCACTACAATTGCTTTGCTCAAATGTGCTGTTATTGGTACCATTTACTACTGAAAATATCAAGGAGAAGTTTATTTATATTTGAAGACATATTAAAGGCTTTAACGCTTGTTTTCGACTCGCACTACTATTCATGATTGAATAAAACTTTTTGCAGGTACTGTATAAAAAAGTATGTTTAATGAACAAGAGTCGAGAGTATAATGAACCTTTATCTTCCTACCTACGATTTTGCCAGCGCGCATCCAAGACATTGGAAGGGGAACATCGCTAGAGAAAGTAACTGAAGTATACCTTCAACGATTAATTAATGATTCGAGGGGGTGGATGAGCTAATGCTATAAACTGCAACGGAGTTGAGAGGATAGGTAACATAAAGCTTGATACCATATCAAAACAAATACTTTCAATTAAAAATCAAGAACCTATCAAGTGACGGAATAGTATAAAGGATTCAAAAAAAGATCTCGAAATGACGCTAAACACATCGTCACATTTACAAAAATTTATTCAACAGCTCGTCATTCCAATTACATTCAGCCCATTTCTAGTACATCAAGTTAAAACTGTTTATTTTTTTGTGTGCTCTACTTCATGCACGATATTTATACCTATTTATAGATAACTTTTTATTTCAGGGTGACCTACTTTCCGGCTTAAGTGACGGATACATCGGCAGAGCGGATGCATTGGTTGCGATGGATATTAAGCACCAGGGCGCCGGTGGCCCTGGTGGACTTCCACAACTCAAACATGACATGATGTATCATCATGGAATGGGCGCGCCACCTCCTGTGTCAAGGGGACAGGTAAATCATAAATGTTGCACCAGTTATTATTGTCCTTATAGAGGAATAAATGTTTCAATAAATAATGCAGCATTAACAAATCGACTTTGTTATTATGTTATTATTTTGAAATTCATAACGTTTGAGGACCAAGTAGAACTCGAAAGATCTTCTAGCTCCTAGCTATCGGCTCAATATTCACAAGCTTATAAGTTTAGGAATTAAGGGACAATTTCGCATTTTGGTATGTATGAGTAGAATCGTCTAAAGAAGCAAGGAATCGCAAGTCTGTCCAATTTTGTAGGAAAATTATAAGCTATATTTTAATTGTAAGTAAAAAAGAATAAAATTGGTATCCAAGGGAGACGAAAGATTAGAAGAAGTGGCTGACTTTAGGTACCTAGGAAGTCAAATAAGTCAGAACGGAAGTAGTGGGGAAATACAGCAGAGGTAAGCGCAGGATAGAATCGCCTTCAATAAAAGGAAGTCACTTTTATGCTCATGAACGATTAATTTATAAATTCGAAATGATATTGTTAAAGATATGCTTGGAGCGCGGCGCTGTATGGGTGGGAAACATGGACGATGGTAGCGGTGGGAAAGGAAATGTTAGAAGTGTTTGAAATGTGGTGTTACCGGCGAATGATGAGGATATTGTGGATAGAGAAGGTTAGAAATGAAGAGGTATTAGAAAGAATAGGAGAACAGAGAATTCTATGGAAGTCAATAAAAAATAGGCGAGATAGGTTGGTAGGACACCTTCTCAGGCATGAAGGTCTAGTCAAAAACATATTAGAAGCAGAAACAGGAGCAAAGAGGAGTAGAGGTAGACCTAGATTAGATTACTGTTCGCAAATAGTTAAGGATGCAGGATGTTTTAGTTTTAGGGAAATGCGAAAATTAGCGCAGGATAGGAAGGAATGGAGGTGTGTGTTCAACCAGTCTTAGGACTGACGACCTTACCTCATGATGATGAAATAAAATGCAGAGGCTACTAAAGACTTTATTCACGTACAGGAGGATCTCACTTCAGGAAGGTAAAATTCATAAGTATTACAAGAAATTATTGAGGTGTATAATTAGAACGTCCACCATTTGAAGTGGGATTGATTCCGCAGCACATTAAAGTGGATGGTCGCAGGGAAGTCAATGAGTACAGCTTTTCTTTTCGTTCAATTTCTCGTAGACAAAGTTCGAAGACATTGTACACATTCTTTCTTTGGTCTTTTGGTCTGCACGATTCCAGTTTGTATGCAATATTCCCATCTGAAGTAACAAACGTGCCAATATTTAGACCTGGTTTTACTCGCAGAGGCTTCGGTTTCGAGGCTTTGGTATTATTTATCTCCCCATCATCGAGAACTTTAATTAAGCTTACGTTTGATATTTGATCAATAAACAAATCATTTTGAGGATTTCGTACAAACTGTCGATCTTCAAGTTCATTTTGAGAGTCATCCACAGTGTTCATGACTGGTGAGGCTATCTCAGTTAATTTTAACGTCATCGCTGTTAGTGTCTTTCTGACTATCTCTTTCCTTTGCCTTTGAGATCCAACGTTGATGCTCATTTGAATTTGGAAATCTTCGAAAGGAACTGTGACTTTTTCTCCTTCTTTGCTGGATGGCTCTTTAATCCCAGTTGGTAAATTTTCTTCACTTTCTTCTTTTCTTCGTTCAGCCTCTGGTTTTTTGCTGATGTCTGGAATTTTTATATCAGTTTTCGTTTCACTTTCCTGTAATTTATTTTTATTTTTGTTTAAATTATGATGAGATTTAGGTTCTGGCAAAATTGCTGCTGCTTCCAGGCTGTGATATTCACTGTATCCTGATTCATTACTACATCTGGATAGACAATCCAAGTAAGTTGTAGTTATTTGCTCATCATCTTCGTCAAGTTTGCTGGTCTCTTTATGTTTCTGAGAGCTGAGGGTCTGATTGGGAGTGGACACTTTGGACATGTAATTGCAGGCTGCATTATGTTCATCTTTTTTAAACTCATTTCTACGGTCATTATCAAGGGAGCACTTTAATTTAGTATAATCACTCTTATGAGGATTATCGTAACGGTGCGCGTCTGCTTGTGGAATTGTTGCAAACTCCCATAGTCCACTGTAATTGTTATATAAACATTTTAGGGTATTGAAGCAGTTTTGGTAAAAGTTGTTGCAATTTTGAATCGATTTGCAAATTTTTGTGTTATATCTAGATTCCACAAAGTTTTGGAATGCTATACTTTGCAGTGACTTATAGATTAAGCTCGAGTTAGTTGGATACAGGTCATTGATTCCCTGTCTAGCATAATTGTAGAGGGCCATTTGCGCCATTGTAGATATTTTAATGAAATTTTCGTACACACTACCAGAACGTTGTGTCTTACTGAGAAAATCTGAGAAATTGCGTCCACTAGTCAAATAATCGCAATACAAGTCGTTAGAGTAATCCGTTTCTAGATTCACTAAATTAGTTAGCCTGTCGTATTCTTTATTCATTATGGGTTTCTGTAAGTTCAATGATGGGTTATCGACATTGCAAGGCTTTAATCGTAAAATATCGAAGAATCCAGGTAATCTTAAAATGTTTTTCGTATACGACTTCTTATTTGCTAAATTTCTAATGTAACTGTCAGGTTTCATTACAATGGGTAAATTTAATTCTTTCGATTTTTCCAACGACGAGTTAACTAGTTCGGAAATTTTAGTTTTGCGGGATTCGACATTTTTAGCATCATCTTTTGAATTTTGTGAAGTAGATTTTACTATTACTGGAGTTGTTTGATGAGATTTAGTATCGTCGTTACTTAAAGAAAATTCTTCAGCTAAAGTGATATCATCTTCAGTTTTGTCTCGATTTTCTTCAATTTTCGAGACACTGGAATCTTTTTTAATCAGAAAGCTTGAAAACATATCATCAGTTTTGTCTCGATTTTTTTTAATTTCCGAGACACTTGAATCCTTTTTAGTCAGAAAGCTTGCAAACATATCATCAGTTTTGTCTCGATTTTTTTTAATTTCCGAGACACTTGAATCCTTTTTTTTAGTCAGAAAGCTTGCAAACATATCATCAGTTTTGTCTTGATTTTCTTCAATTTCCGAGACACTGGAATCTTTTTTAATCAGAAAGCTTGCAAAGATATCATCAAGTTCCGATTTATTTTTATGTTCCTGTTGTTGCTCTTGTTTGTTTTTATTAGTTATGTCTTGTACATGCAATTTTTCATCATGCTTTAGTAATTCCTCTGTAAAAGCGCCTCTGCTTTTAACCGTTGTTTTCGGATTTACTGTTTCAATATGTGACAATTTAGATCCTTCTACTTTTTTATTACTGTCCTTCTTGTATGATAATGAAGAAGATGTCTCATCAATTTTCTTTACGATTACATTTCCATTCTGTCCTATTTTGAAACTTACGGCTTGACCTTTCTCGATTCTTTGCTTATTTGCAGTTGCTACACGCAGTTCACTTGCGGAAATGTTGTCCCTTTTCCTAGGCAAGGATGCTTTAACTTCGATAATTGCCTTGGTTTTATCGTCTTTTTCTATCTTTTTAACCTCTACATTTGTTTTGAGTTCATTCATACCTTTTGGTGTTTCTGATCGAATCTTCTCGCTTTTCATTTGAACATTTTTAACCGACAATTTAGCTTTAGCACTGCTTGAATTTAGTTTTTTATTTTTCTCCAATAATTTGGCTTCATTCTGGGTATATCGTTCTTCCAGCTTTTTGATTAATAAGGAGATGTTATTTTCTATTTTTTTGGCTGAATTTGGAGAGTTTGGTCCAGTATCGTCGTTGCTCTTGTTTTTCTTCGGGTGTTTAATGGAAAAGTATCGTTGTACTGCTTTACCTGCTCTCCTTCTTGCCTTAATGACTGAATTTTTATCATTTGGACGAGTATTAATTATTTTACTTGTTATTACCCATCTTCGCTTGCTATTCGTAATAATTAAATAATCAGAAAGTTCAACTACTTTATTAAAGGCCGTATTCTTTGCAGTTTGGAGATACTCGTGAACGAATTTACCCCTTTGCTTCATATAGCTTTGTCCGATCACTTTATTTTCTTTGACAGGTTCATTGTATAAGATTGGTCGTTTCTCCAGAATCTTTATGTCTTCTCGAGAATGAGGCTTGCACTGAGTACATTCCTTCATTGTTTCATTTTTACTAATCTTTGAAAGCTCACTATGGTCTTGTAAACTATTAAATCCACTATCAGTGTCTTCATTCTCAAAATTTTTCCTTGTATCTTCTATTGAGTCAGCAGCGTCGCTTGTTTTGTTCGATTTATTTCTAAATAAAAGAAGTCTGTTTTCATCTTTTCTGTAGTATTCGTTATTAGTATTTTTTACGGGAAACTTTCCAACTGCAATTTTATTTGTTCGTTTATTTAAGTCATTCTTTTTTAAGCACGTTCTATCCTTGCATGCTTTCTCGGTTATTTCTGATTCTATAAATCCTTTAATTAACTGTCTGTATAAATCGTTTGAGGCATTTTTACGAAATTCTAAAGAAGAATCGCAGTTTACATTTGAACTAACGTTAATATCATCTTGAGGCACCAACATTAGTTGCTCTTTCTTGTTTTTATGTGGAACTACACTTTTAGGAGCTTTTGATAATCCTTTTCCCAGTTCTGTTTTAACCGATTCTATCCAAATATCTTTAACTGGATTCTCCATTGGGGAATCATTACAATATTCAAAATTATTGTTCATTTCTTCATTATGTTTAGTTTTCCCATCAGAATCAATAGTTTTTAAAGTGTTATTTATTCTAGTTTCACGTTTGTTGTTTGGATTATCAGTCGACAATGTTAATAAATCATTTTTAATTCTTGTAATATGACTTTCCGAGTCATTACTTGATTTGTTATCTAGTTTAGAAAGTAATATATCAATCAATTCATTTATTTTTTCTAGTCGTCCCTCTGGAGAGTCTGAAAAGTCTAAACAGCTGTTGGCATCACTTGGAACACTGTTCTTCTCATTTTCCAAAAAGGATTCATGACTATCTAATGATTTACTTAAAGTACTTTTTTGAGTTGTCGTTTCTTCAACATTTTTACAAGTCGTGCCTTCAAAAGTGTTTGATAAATTTAGATTTTTACACTGTTCTATTACTTCAGTCTTCATATTATCGTCGACAGCACATTTTCCTTTATCTGCTATTGATTTGCCACTGCCCAACATGATAACATCAACATTGAAATTTCTAGGTTTGTGTTGTGCTGTAGAACTGCTATCGACAATAACAAACCCTTTTGTTGTTTCTTCCGGGGCCAACACACAGTTTGCTTCTATAGGGTTAATATTACCATTAAATTTTTGTGATGATGAAATAACTAGGGAAGATCTGTGTTGATCGTCATTGTCATTATTAATTTTCGAACATAGACTGCTCGATGGTGCAATTCTGCTTGACCACTCATTTTGTGGTAATTTTTCGTTGCCATTTTCAGACTCAATCTTACCTAATTGAGGAGTATTTGTGTCTTCAAATCTGCTAGGTTTCGCTTCGATTTCCTTGTTGTTTTCATGTTCTGATGTATTTCGTTTATCTTCGGATGGTGTCATTGTATCACATAATCCACGTGAATTTAAAAATGAGGCTATCCAATATTTTTGGAGAGTTTCAGATCTATTGCAATTGGACATCTTTTTCAGATCGTTATCCTCAGATTTTTTGGACTTGTTATCAAGTGGACTTCCAGAATCGTTAGTGGAGTAGTTTCGACTAATTCTTCCTTTGCGACTTGTAGGGCCTATCGAAACTTTGGGCTTTAATAGATACTTTATCAACATGAAGTGGTTTAGAAGATCCTTTTTGGTTTTTGTAGGATTTACTTTAAGACTTGTATTTTTCCGTAAAATACCATTTTCCCAATCTTTAAAGACAGAAAATAAACTATTTTCATTTTTACTCAAAACAACTGTTTCCTCATCTTTACTTCTAGGAACGTCTTTTATAATCTTGATACTTTTGACAAGTACAGCGTCTTGCATTGCTTTTATAACCATAAATTTAATAATGTTCGTCTTAATGAAGTGAATGATTTTTAGATTAGTTGCATTTTTATTTCCTATCGTATTGCTGGGATTGATTATCGTAGTAGTAGCTTCATCTTTTGCAGTCTCCAATTTATGAAACTGATTTGTATTTGGTTTATCAGCAGAAGTATCTTTAGTATCTTTTTTTGTAGCATCATTCTCTTCTTTACTGCGAGAATGTTGCTGTAACACCGAGCTGTCAAGCATGCTTCCAGCTGTAGTTTCAGGTAGACCAGATTTTGGTCCCTTTTTATTCTCATCGTCCTTTGACTTTGTTACGAGTGACATGTCATTTTGCTTCATCAAGTCATCAACGATTTCCCTAACGGATTGGGTTAGCATTTCTAATGATATCATTTCAAACTCTTTTGTACCAATGAGTTTAACACTTCCATTGTTTTGGTCGTACGTTACATCACTTTTAACAGTCTCCTCAATGTCAGCACCAGGTGTTAAGAACGATCTTTCAATAATATCTTCTATCACAAATATATTTGATTTAATTTCGTGCTCGGCTAAAGCACTCAGGGCTTCGTCGTCAAGTATTTTTTTGCTCAACAGCAGTCGGAAGTCGTTATGAATGAACTTTTTTGATTCTGTTAAGAAATTTTCAGTGGATTCTTTGTCACTTTTAAGAATATCCACAGAAGGGTTCAGTTCTCCTTCTTTAACATGGAGTTGATCCAACTGGAGATCTTTGGTTTCGTTCTTCTGGTGGGCTTGATCCGACTCGAGAATTTTGGTTTGATTCTTTTCGTCAGCAACAGCTGAAGTAAAACGTTCATTGTCAATTGATTCAATTGTTACCGCTTTGTTTGAATTTGATTCGCTTTTAGATTTGTCATATTGTCCTAAAGTTGTGTCGATTATATCCACCACATTCTGGATACTAATATTAGATGTTAAACTTTCTTGTTCATCTAAATACTTGCCAGTCGATTGTTTGGTGTCGGTGTCACTCTTCTTAGAGTCAATATTTTTGCTAACGGTGCTGTCAGGTTGCGCTTCGTCGTCGACAATTTTTTTGCTCAACAAAAGTCGAAAGGCTTCTTGAACTTCCAGGAAATAATTTTTAATATCGTCGTTTTCATTTAGAGGTTCAAATACATCCAAATGAGGTTTCGACTGTGGCTTCACAACTTTTTTAGATGCACCCACGTATTTTTTCCCATCTTCTGTTACCTTTTTGTTAGTTGTAGCTGGAGGAATGATGTATTTAAGGTAATTCTTCATGTATTTAGTAATACTTCTTTTGGGTTGCTTGTCAAACACTTTCGATTCCTCATCGATAACTTTCTTACTCAATAGCAATCTCATATCCTCACCACCATGACCTTCAACGTCTTTGTCGACTTTTTTTGGTTCTTTCTTAGATCCCAACGCTTGGATTTCTTGTAAAAATCGTGCAATCTGATCATATTGTTTATTTATAGATTGACTCTGTTTATCATCCGCAACCTTTTCAGTTTTCTTCAATGACACTGTCGAATCTTTGGGCATAGTTTTGCTTGTTTCCATTTGATTAGTTTTAATTTGAGCTTCATCAATTATTTTCTTGTACGATCCCAAGCTGTCTAAAGAACTCTCTTCATTCTTTTGGATTTGGCTTTTATTGTCAACACTCGTTGTGGCATGGTCCTTTTCATCCATAACTTTTTTATTATGAACTATTTCTTTAATATGATCGGTCTTAGCTTCTTTCGTTTCCACTAATTGTTTTTCTTGTTGTTTTATATCATTTAATATACTTTCATTTGGAATAATTTTATGTTTTGCACTATCAGCAACAGGTCGTTTCTGGTCATATCGCAAATATTTTGGAATAAGTGAATCATCCTGCTTTGTAGTAGAAGATATCTCTTTAGATAGTCCAGAGTTTTCTTCCAGATTACCTGCAAAACGATTAAATTCATAATGCATAATGTGTTTTATCTCAAAAACAACATTCCTTAGCTATCTTGCAACTTACATTAGTGGCGTAAGTTCATTTTGGTTTTATTTAATTAAATATAAATAATCATTCCTGGAACTTCATTGTCCTTCAAATGAGTTTGGGACATTCCGGTCGAAATTAGAGACAGTATTCAGGTTGGAAATGTAGGTAGATCATAATAGGAGTTATAAAATGTAGAGATTCCGTTCAGGCTTTATAACAACTTCTTTTAAATTAATAATATAATTTTAGACGTTAGACATTAAACAAAATTGTTAATTGTTATTATCTTGACGGGCGACACTTCGCATATTGAAAATAATAAAAAAAAAATAATTCCAAAAAATTTATTTCAGTGTGTACAACATGCCCATATGTAAACGTTCAAAGTACTGAATCACAACTGTATTACTACCTTACCTAAAGGTTTCTTTGAATAAGCTTCGATTGTATTTTGTTTATTTTTATCTCGTTTATTGTCGGTTTGATTATTGTACTTCATAATGATCTCCGTAGTGTCTGGATTTTCCTTTTTCTTTCCGTCGAATGCACTAATGTCCTGGTGTCTGAGTTCTCGAAGAATCTTCAATAATTCTTGACGATCGAAAGTGTTGCATTCAAGGGTCGGCTTTGATAACGAATCCTTTTTGATTAATTGTATAGGTTTGGACTTGGTCGGTTTAGTGGCTACTTTGTTTATCCAATTATTCACTTTAACCATTTTCTCCTTTACTTTCCTATATTTGAGGTACGACTNTAGCAATGAGAAATTAGAGATAGCTTTAAATAAAATGGAAGTGGTACTGACAAAATGGTATTGTATGAAAAGCGAATATAAAGATAGGAGACGAAAGATTTTCTCGAAGAATCTTCAATAATTCTTGACGATCGAAAGTGTTGCATTCAAGGGTCGGCTTTGATAACGAATCCTTTTTGATTAATTGTATAGGTTTGGACTTGGTCGGTTTAGTGGCTACTTTGTTTATCCAATTATTCACTTTAACCATTTTCTCCTTTACTTTCCTATATTTGAGGTACGACTTCTTTGAATAATTAACAAGCGATTTAGCAATCGCTTTTGCTTTCAGATTCTTTTCAGTTTTCTTTTGGGATTGTTTACGTTTATTAGAATTGCTGTCCTCAAAGCCATTTATAGTAGTACAGGTTCGAAAATTGCGAATTGATTTAATGCTCACATTGTTCAATTTCATACGTTGACTTGTCATTCTGTCAGAATTATTTGTAGAGCTGGCGTCTTCTAGTACGTTTCGTACAGGAAAAGGAAGTCTAGGTCGATAAACAACTTTTGAATACGGTTTATGAATCAACCTCTTCCTTTTTTTTAAGTTAATAAATGCTTTGCATAGGTGTGGATATTTTTGAAACAGTAGGTACAATTCTTCTTTCAGCTGTTCAAAAAAATTTGAGGTGATGTGATTATCAGGCGATTTGTAATCTTCAGTTCCAAGCGAAGGATTAGCACTTGCTTGTTTAATCACTAGTGGACCGTCATATCTTAGTGTTGATGAAGTTGTTGACATGGTTTTGGTTTTTCTAATAATGTCTCCACTGTTACCCCAGTTAGCTGTAGAAAACGATCTCCTTGAATTTACTACGTTTTTCATAAGTACATTTGAATCTTTTGTTGTTCTTTTTTCTCCTTTCAATGGTTCAGATTCCTTTTCTAGGACTGCATTGCAACTAGTTTGGGCACTTTTTCGACAAATAAAATTTATGATATCATTAATCCAAGTATTTACGTTCTTGGATCCAGGCTGTTTCATTAACACTTTTTGTACGTTTAGGTTCTTATGCTCGTTACTCGTTGATTCGATGGTACGGGCTTCTTCGCGAAGAGGGATCACATTGGCTGACATCTCCCTGACTGTTCCTATAGTGTTATTACTCCCGTGCTTTTTATCGCTCTTCGATTTTGAAGCATTATTTCGACGTTTATCAGGTGCCAAATTGTTAGATACATCATAAAGACTTCTTTCAGGTTCGAATGTTTTCGATTTTTTCGCTATTAAATCAATGTTTGGGTTGCTCTTCTCAAACCGTTTAACATAATCTAATAATGTCTTTTCCCTAACGGTCTGTTGCACATTAGGGGTAGACATTTCTTCTGAGAGGTTTGCAGTGATCTTGCTTACAATTTCTTCTCTCATGGGCGTTGCAGCTTCTTTTGTGTTCTTTGATGTATGCACTTCTACTTTGGATGTGGATTGTAATTTTCCCAAATTGAGTACAACTTCTAAAACACCATCTTCTTGATTCCTATAAGTACCTTCTCCTTTTGCTTTAACGTAGAATTCTTCTATGATTTTATTCGAGGAAGGCTTCCTTGATAAATCGTTTGAACTGGCATCCTTGGCTGCCAAACTGCTGGTCTTAGATTTTCCTGTTAAAATCGATGGTTCTCCCGTAAAAGTGATCTGCTTCTTACTGAGTACTGTTTTTAAAACTGCGTCTTCTTGACTGTCCTCGATAGCCTTTTCGTTAGTTTCTACAGTTCTTTTATCCACGGGCCCTTTGAAAACGGTATCCCACATTGATTTTCTTGGAAAAGAACTTGATGTGATGTCTTCTCCTGCATTGGAAGTTTGACCTCCACTCAATTTTGTTGTCGAACTGCTCGCAGTAATTGACGGATTTTTGTAGTGAGAATCCATATATAAATCATTGAAGGACGATTTAAGTGGAAAATCCTTTATTGATGAATTACTTGTTGCCGGTTCTTGTTTTAAATTGGACGGTTTAATTCTTAGTGTGCTTTGTTCTTTAACCTTCTTTAGTGTGCTTTGTTCTTTAGCTTCCTTCCTAAGATTAAGTACTGTTGCCAAAATTCCATCTTCCTGATTACTTTCTAAATCTTTTTCATTATCACTAATTCGAGATGCTTGAAACAAAGCATCCCAGGAGGGCTTTTGGTGTTGACTGGTTTTTATTGCTATGTTACTCTTTACAAGTGCTGCAGTTAAATCCTTTAAAGAGGATGGTCTTCCCTTGTGAATGGATTGATTATCTTGCAATTTCTTTTTACTTCTCAGGTTTAGTACTGTTTCCAAAACTCCATCTTCTTGACTCTGTTCCAAGTACTTCGTACTGGATTTATCATGGGCCGTCTTAAAGACAGTGACGTGAATGTCGAAATTTTTACCCGATGAAGAAGGCGGTCTGGGGTTCTTGCTACACGTTTGTGTTTTAAATTTTTTACTGGATACTATCTTTTTCTTAACAACGTGTTTTTGAATAGCATACGAATGAATGCAACTCTTTAGAACATTTTGGCAGTGGCTCTTTTTTCTTCTACCTTCTACTGAAGATCTAGATGAAACCTTTTGTAGGTTCCGCTTATTCTGATTATTCTTGCCATCTCCTTGGTTTAATCCGTAAGGTGTTTCATTGCGACAATAAGATTTAGATCGGGTCTGCGATTGAATTTGCCCGCCATAAGACTGCAGTAGAGAATCCAAAACAGCATTTGAAGCTAGGGATTTTGACGCCAATAAGTGTTTTTGTACAATATTAGAGCACGTGCGACAGATAGGCATTATGAAAATTTTGAAAAATAAAAATTATTAAAAAGTGTATAAATGACATTTAAAATTTCAATTAATGAATTAATGTTTCGAATGTTGCCTAGATTTATTTTTTATTTTTTATCGAAAGCTTTTGATGCTTTAAGGAACAGTTTAAATTTGTCTGATTTATTTTTTATTTTTTAATTCCATGGCCATTCTAGCTTTACGGGCAACAATAGAGAAAACGATACAGAATGGAAAGAGCGCGTACATAAGATTTGTAGATTTAGAAAAGTCTTTTGACCATGTTAAATGGGGCAAGATGTTAAACGTCCTTAAAAATGTAGGAATGAGTTACAGAGATAGAAGAGTGATACTTAGTTTCTATAAAGAGCAACAGGCAGTTATAGAACTGGAGTTGCAACGTAGAGAAGTAAATATTAGAAAGGGAGTCAGACAAGAATGCACACTGTCACAGCTACTTTTTAATCTATACATCGAAGATGCGATCAACATCATTAAAGACAGTGCAACTGTAGGGATAGATATAAAGGGGCAAAAGATTAATATGCTTATATTTGAAGAAGATATAGCAGGATTAGCATTTAACAATGAGAAATTAGAGATAGCTTTAAATAAAATGGAAGTGGTACTGACAAAATGGTATTGTATGAAAAGCGAATATAAAGATAGGAGACGAAAGATTAGAAGAAGTGGCTGATTTTTCAGGCTTGAAGGTCTAGTCAGAAGTTAAGACGAGTAGAGGTAGACCTAGATTAGATTACTGTTCGCAAACAGTTAAGGATGTGGGATGTACTAGTTTTAGGGAAATCCGAAGATTAGTTCAGGACAGAAAGGAGTGGAGGTACGTGTCCAACCAGTCTTAGGGCTGACGACCTTATGATGATGAATTCCATGGAAATTGGAAATTTTGAATGACAGATACCGATTCATTTAAATCGTTTAAATTATAAGAATTTGTATATATATAATATATTTTTGTTTCTGGAAAGAACAACTTCCTCAAACTAATTTTTATGGATATGTATGTACTCTCCGCTCTCTCTCCTTCCCAACAATACAATGCCCCTTTTGGAGTACGCAGTCCACACTTGTTCCTTGTGCCCACGGTTTAACAAACAATTTGAGTATGAGACGACTATGTTCTTTTGTTCTGTTTCTCGATCGGGTTGAATGATTCAGCATGCCCGGCGTCGCCGTCCCAAAAGTAACATATTTTCTGATTATCACGCACATTTCTCGTAAAGTGGTCATTTGACGTGTCGAACATGGGACCGGACGGCGGTCCCGGACATCGTATACTTTCTTCATTCGTTGGTGAAACGATCTGAAAGAGGGCTCGGGCTGAACACGACCCCCATGGGAAATGTATACGGACCTGTACAACAACCCAACTTGAAATGCCGTTAATGTCAATAACAGCCGCAAAAACAAACTGGTTATTACACAATTTTACACAGACAGTAAAATTAACATGATTTTCCCAGAAGGTTTATCGTTCTGCTGTTATAGTCTCTACAGTGACGATTGAATTGTGAAAGGTCACGTGGTTTCGCACACATGAGGAAGTTGGTCCTAGAACTCCATCATGAGCCTACCTCCACCTCCCCACCCCATCAACAATAAGGGAAGTATGAGTTAATCAGAACTACACTAGTAGTTATTTAATTGTTATTCCTTTAATTAATCTTCTGACCACTAAACTACGAGAGGTGACAACAGCAACAACGACCAACCGACCTACAAGGTTAACGATCCGTCCTACTAACGTGACTATATATACTGAATATACTATGATTAAACATACATACAATTTAGGCATCTTTTTGACGTGACAACGTCTTATAATTCGATGGAGCCGGCTGCTCGCACGAAAAAACATGACTCATGCGGCGTTATCTCGCTCTGAGGCGTTCCATTTAAGGCTTGAAGTGCAAGCGAGAGCGCGGAACGAGCGACAAAGAGGCACAATCGGCCTCCGCGTTCGGCAGCGTTCGACATCTGTCTCTCTCCTACTTGAGTGAGCGATGCGTCCGCGTGGACAGCTGCTATACAATAATACATTTCCATTTACCTCCTTCTCTATATCCATACAAAATATCTATCAAACAAATAAAATTAAAATTTTCTTTTGAAAAATGAAACCATTCCATCAGTATTTTCTTATGACGTTGTCACGTTCAACTATCGTCAGTAAACCGACTTTACAGACAACCGATTTTTTTTTGTAGTTTAGTGGTCAGAACATTGGTGCGTAAAGCCAAAGGTCCCGGGTTCGATTCCCGGCGGGGATGTGACAACAGCAACAATTTTTCCTTCATTAATTTGAGGTGGCGTGTAGTGGGTAAAAAATTCAAAAATGAATTTTCAGAATTACATTTCATGTTATTCCTTTGCTGTTCTTCAATTTACTGAGCGACCGAACTTCCAGTTGTTCCTATGTACCATTTTTTAAACCTGCATGAAATGTACTGGAGTGTGTATGGGTGGTGTTTTCGATTTTTTTAAGATTTCTTAAAAATTGAGTCGAAAGCCGTCATTCTCCTTCATTAAATTTTCCACTTAAAGTCGTCGTACAAAGAAGCATTTATATTAGCAAGGATGCGTATACTACACATTGTGTATATCTGCCTATACATACGTATATAGAATAGAAGAGCCTAGGAATATTTGACAACAGTTGACGAACAGAAGTATCGTTTTAAGGGCCCACGTCGTATGTCAACTGTTCCATTGTGGAGTGGCGTTTGTTTTTGCTGTGTTTACACAGTTGTCAGGTCCTACATTGTACTTCGCATGACGCTTTCAGTCGAAAGCCCCCTAATGACCGCAGATTAGAAATCGTGTGGCCTGTTTATTATGTTTTGACGCAAATACAATATACACGTATGTATATATAGGTACATGCGACATAAGTTTACTAGGTTACATTAAAGTTGAGAAACAGAGTCGGTATGATAAACCATTCTACTTGGGATAATAATGTAATATAAATAAATTTAGTGTTGTTATTAATGCATTTTTCATTTTAATTCCTCATTCAGTAGGTTATCATTTTAATCTCATTTAAACCTTTCAAATCTAGATTATGCTATGTGATAGGTATAATATTTAGAGCGAATATAAAGATAGGAGACGAAAAATAGAAGAACTGGCCGATTTTAGGTATCTAGGAAGTCAGATAAGTCACGCCGGAAGGAGCAGTAGGGATATAAGGTAGAGTCTATGCTCGCGAACAGTTAATTTAGAAATTCAGAGAAGGTTGGACATGGACAGTGGGCGCAGCGGAAAAGAGAAAGTTAGAAGCGTTCGAAAGGCGAATGATGACGATACCGTAGATAGAGAAGGTTAGATGTGAAGAGGTATTAGAAAGAATAGGAGAACAGAGGACTCTATGGAAGTCAATAAGAAATAGGCGAGATAGGTTAGCAGGACACCTTCTCAGGCACGACGGTCTAGTCAGAAACATATTAGAGGTAGCAACGGGAGTTAGGAGGGGTATTGGTAGACCTAGATTACATTACTGTTCGCAAATAGTTAATGCGGATTGTTCTAGTTTTAGACCGAGCGGCATGGCCTAGTGGTCTAGACCATTGCTTAGCATTCGGGAGGACGCCGGTTCGATTGCGGGTCCGTCTGCCTTGGTCCAAGTTTTTCTGTGATTTCCTTGGATCACTTAGGCAAATGCTGGGGCAGTAATATTCCACAGATAATCTTTCACTCTCTTCTGTCTTCATTTCGTCCGTCTCATCTTTCTCACCCGAACCAGCCCTTACCCATTCCCACGATTCCTGAAAGCAGGCTGAAGAGGGCCTTCCGCCCTGCCTTCCGGCATAGTCCGAAGGGACTGCCCGCCCATCAGCATTACTGGCTGGTGGGAGTGAAACACCCAAAAGTTTTTTTTTCTAGTTTTAGGGAAATGCGAAAGAGTGGAGGTGTGTATCCAATCAGTCTTAGGACTGACGACCTTATGATGAATATAGTGTTCGAAGTTCAACTAAAACGGTACTAAAATGACTACCCATCATATTATTTGTTAATTTTTCAATTTCCCCATTCCCCCTTCTTAATTTGTAAATTTATATTGATAAAAATTATGTACCTATATAAATATAGGTATGTATGCAGGTACTGTATTTAACAAGACGGCGTAAAACTAGCGATAATAGATATTACCTATATTCAACAGAGGCCGAATAAATTTCGATACTCCTAATTTCGAGCCTCTATCATCATCCGAACGCTATCCGGGAAAACTGTATTAACTAAACGATCAAATATGCATGAAGCAATTTCTGATCGATCACTCGGTAGTCCGATTGGAACGTGGAATTTCGGATGTTTCTGTACAAATGCGATACACTGGAAGTTCTAACAAAAAAAGAAAAGAAATGAAATTGATTATGACTGCTTTTTTTCTTCTTCATCTGCCTACTTTTACACTAACTTTCAGATGAAGCTAAAGGTTTAGATAGCAAATGATTTGGAAAAAAAATTAAGTCCAAAGGTTGAATTTTAATCAAAAATCAATGGCATTGTCCTTATTTTAAAAGAAACCTAATATACAGCACAATAGATTCTTCAAGAAGTACGAGAGTTGAATTTACAGTTCCAACTTTTCGTATTACCCTAAAATGTTTGGCATTTCATTAGTGTATAAAAATCAGTATCTAAACGGTCTCGCCTGAATCTAGCATCTATACTTTAGATCGAAAGCGGTTTAGACGTTCTTCCTGGCTGACCCATTTCTCTTAATTTCTTTCCAACAAAAGATAAATCCCTCTCAAGATTTCTGGAGTTGTTTTTAACTTATAAAAGGAAAAGTCACCGTATCTCATCATTCATGGTGATGACACTGAAGCCTAACTTACAAGTTAGAAGCATTCGAGGGCAACACTACATACAATACGGAAACCGCATCACAATAATCATTTCCCATGGTCAGAATAGGGGAAATATGTAAAAATAATATCGTGTATATACCTGCTTGACACAGAATGTTCACAAATTTTTTTTTGTTCGTAGATGGGCCACATGGACGGTCTTGATATGCTCGACCCGATCTCGACATCGTCAATGACAACGCTCACGCCGATGTCAGAAACCCCGCCATCGCATATGCATTCAGCGTACGGCATGAACCACGTAATGAACCACCATCACCATCATGGTGGTCCACTGGCCGGAGCGCCGGGACATCATCCAGGTCACCACGGAGCTCATCCCGGAGCGCATCATCCGGCCATGGCCGCCGCAGCTGCGGCCGCAGTTGCCGGACTTCATCCCGATACCGATACTGACCCCCGAGAACTTGAAGCTTTTGCAGAAAGATTCAAACAAAGGAGGATTAAGTTAGGTGAGTGTGTTCATCGAAAATGTAGACCATAAAGGTCAATAATGAAAAGGAACTTATTAGTTGACTCAGGTAGACTTAATTAAAACGTAGCCAAGGGCCAGACGATAATTTGATAAAAAGAAAGATTCATTTATCTGTGTAGCAAATTTATTTATTACTTTTCTTGATTTAGTCTGAGACAGTCAATCTACTCCGGGCCCGGGGTAGGTAGACCATATACCCGAAGTAAGTTGACTCATGTACTAATAAGAGTCAAATCATGAGAAGGAGCAAATAATTAACCATTTTTTTAATATAATTAAAAATTTGTCTATTTTTTACATATCCCACTGTGTCCAGGGTTAATTCTGCTCTCGTCAATTTCGGATTTTGTTCTAATTATTCTTTTAATTTGGTCACGTAGCGATTTAAAAGTCCAATAAAAAGTTAATTTATGTGTTGTTTTCAACTGCATATTTCATTGGGGTTGGTTGAATAATTATTCAACCAGCCCCGAAAAAAATTGGTCTACCAACCCCAGACGCCATTTTTAATTTTGATCGCATGGCTAGCCTAAACACTGCCGTTGACTTGAAAAATAAGATATGAAATATTATAAATGAGCCCTCATTAAACGCTAGGACTAATAGAAAACTGATTTACATAAAACGAGTAGGCATCAGATCAAAAAATACAATATATCAAAATATTACATACGTGATTGAAATATGAAAAAGATGTCACTGTTCCAAAACAGCGCACGACCGCAATGTGGCGCTTCAGACAACTGAGCGGGACGCGAAATGTAATGCTCGGCTATGATCAGATGACATAGTTCATACAATGTCGAAGAGTTTTCGATAGTTAGTCTGCCTAGCCCTATAGTTAACCATCCCCGGTCTCACCTAGGTACATCTCTTTTCTTTGTTTCAGGAGTGACGCAGGCTGACGTGGGCAAAGCGCTGGCAAATTTAAAACTGCCCGGCGTTGGAGCTTTATCCCAGTCGACCATCTGTCGCTTCGAATCGCTCACCCTCTCTCACAACAACATGATAGCACTCAAACCTATACTCCAAGCGTGGTTGGAAGAGGCCGAAGCTCAGGCGAAAAACAAACGGAGAGATCCTGACGCTCCCAGCGTCCTTCCAGCTGGCGAAAAGAAGAGGAAGCGAACGTCTATCGCAGCACCGGAGAAACGAAGTCTCGAAGCTTACTTCGCCGTTCAACCTCGTCCTTCGGGCGAAAAAATCGCCGCCATCGCCGAAAAGCTTGACCTGAAGAAAAACGTAGTACGCGTGTGGTTTTGTAACCAACGACAAAAGCAGAAAAGGATGAAGTTTGCGGCGCAACACTGATACGATGTGAACTTCGGACCGTACGGTGGGAATTAGTGAATGTATTATCTCGGTTTGCGAAGTCTAAATAAAAGTGAATCTTGTGCAATGAAACGGTGAAGGGATGACGACAAAAATAAAGTGGTACTAAGTAACGCTCAAAACTATCCAACAACAACAATTCTAAACTGAGAAATAAAGGAAGTATGCTCAAAATAATAATAAAAAAAGAAAGAACGAAAGAGAGAAAACAGAACAAGAACAGTAAGTTATTATATCTATTAGGTACTATAGAATAATCCGGTAACATGATGTTACGATTATAAAGTAGACAGTTTTCTAAAACTATACTTTCTTTCACTTCATAAAAATTTATTTTACAATCTTGACGGATATTTTAAAAATCAAATTGCATCCTCGACGGTCTCAATGTTTTCAACGTGGGGCCAGAAAACCCACGTTAACAGTTAATGGCACAATTGAATTAAATTAAATCCAATTTGTGTCTAACAATGAAGCCCATAGTAATCAGTATTCTATCGAAACTGCCAGATTTGGATCGCGATTTCGATTTTGTTGTTGAATCTCATCGGTGCACACAACCCAGCTCACCTGCCGCAGCGTTTTGTGAAATCATACGAAAGGCGCGGTAAACGCCATCTGTAGCACGATTCTATTATCGCGCCGTTTGTAGGATTTCAGTCTATGTCTAAGTTGAGTTGCTCCAAATTTCCTAATTATGTGGGCGATTTTAAACCCCATTTCTCATATTTTGTCCAATTTCTAACTAAATTTATGACTATCTAATTTAAAACTTAGTTAACTAAAATTTAGTCAAACGCGACTATGCTTTCTTCTATCAAAACTTAACTTTGTGTCACTTAAGGACAGAATAAAGTAAAAATATATTGATTCATCCCCAAACATAACAAAGTTAAGGCGCAAATGATTCTGCAAAACTCTTGTGTTGTTTCTTTCGACAACGAATTTAATTAATTAATTAAAACGTGCAATATTACTTAAGTCGCGTAATCATTTACGTTCAAATTAAGTATAATAGTAAATCTGTAGTGTCTCATTTTATGCGTTTAAGTTGTAAAACGGATAATGTTTCATCCATTGATCATGGAAATTACTATTGCTAATATATTCCATCAAAGTAACCCTAAAAGTATCTCTCACTAAATCGGGTAAATAACTACGAAACTAACCGAATGCTGCCGATTATTCACGGGACACTACGGCAGCCAATGAGAGACAGATAACAGCTTTACGAAATTTAAACTTCGGCAGTAGTCGATATTACTCAGTTGTTTTTTTTTTTCTGTTGATGTGCTTGCCAAATGAAACAGGAAACAAAGCCTTCACATTTGTTTGAAAAATTCATCAACTGTTTCCGGTTTTATAACTTAACGCATAAACAAAATAAAAACTTTCTTTTGTCTAATCTACAAATAAACTATGTAGAAAGCAATAAAATGTGAAAATGTACATTGAAAATGTAAATACAGGGTAATAGAAACATATCACCTAGTTATACAAGATAATAGATTAAGAAGCACACACACTCACACACATATCATCTCTGTATTAAAAATAGAATTAAACATTTTTCTATATATTGTAAATAAATTTTGTACATAATTGCTATTCACCTGTCGGACAATTGATGACAAACATTCCTTGAAGTTCGAACTACCTACCTATGTAAATTCGCATTTCATTTCGGATTTTAGAAGAACTGTATTGCTAGACACTTCCGCATTGTTTTTTTTTTTTATTACTGTTGTAATTCACCCCCATGGATTAACATTCCCGGGAACTCAAAGGATTACATCACCATCCAATGAAAAACGGGTGCTTTACAGTCCCAGCATTAATAAATGTTAGTTCTTAAAATATTTGATATTTCCTTCCATGGGTTTGTGTAACTACAGTTCGTCAATGGTACCTTTAGTATTTGTTTTACTTCAATTGGGAATTGCAGTTACAAAATAAAGTATAATCTATAAATCATTGGATTCGTTTGACGGAGTGGCTAATTTGGAAATATTTTGACGAATTACAAATTTATTTTCATTAACTGGAGTTAGCAAATGGTTCAAACCCCTTCTCATTTCCCTTAAGGGTCAAGAAAAATGTCTGATTTAAATGTCTACAACAACTATTTCAATTCAACTCCATTTTTCCGTTCATGATTATCAAACAAATAAATTGTTTAAAAATTCCAGATAGTAATAAATTTAAGAATGTCTTTTACTGTTGAAATTAGTCAAAAAGAAATGCGGAAGTTTCTACGATGGTACAACTTTTTAGATGACGACTTGGACATTGTTTTGCTACTAAATATTTAAGCAGTTAGTCTGATCTCATGTACAAAATCTAGATCGCTTATGTAAAAGAGTACAGTGAAATAAAATTTAATGTTATTACTTATGTCTGTAGTTTATTATATCACTATCCTCACTAGTAAATCCGCAAGAGCACATGAGACGTCAGTTAGCACCATCTCATCCACGTCAGCAGATTATGTGATTATGCAGCTTAGTTATGCAACGGAAGTGTCACAACGGAAACAGGTAAGTATTAAATTTTTGCGGAAGTGGAAATGAACGAGGATGCGGAAGTGGAAGTACACTCTACACTGAAACAATTATAGGTTCCGTAAAAAATATTTAAGGATTAATTTCTCGTACCATATTAAGGTAGGGGTCCATTAAGATAAGAAATAAATTCAGGTCCTAAACCAGAGCTGGGCAAACTCGGCTCTTTTGACTCCCGAGTGCTCCTCAGGTATAGCTAAGGAGCTCCTCATTGATCCTGCGAGTGCGAGTGAGATGATTCTTTCCGTTTCTTATCCCTTTCGTAGGTGAGTCCCTTCTTCCATAGCCAAACCCAATAGTATTGCGAACGTAGTAACGAAAATTTTCGTAGGTATTATTTAAGTTGCGAGAGTGGTTTCACTCGTCTACGGGATGAAGGGGCTTGATATGGGAGCGAAACGGAGAAGAAAAAGACAAAACAAAATTATTCATTACTGCTTACTCTCTCGTACTCATTGAAGGGTATGGAGTGACTCAAACTAACCTCTTGTAGCGGCTCCTGCAAAAGTTTGCCCGGCTCTATCCTAAACTACTGGAGAAACCTACCATTAAAAGGCAATGCCCCCCGCAGGTAGGAGTGCACCACCCATAGTCGGAAGAAGTTAAATTTTATTCAAAGGCGTTTATTTTTCTCTAAACTTAATGGATATAACGCTCTAAATATAGACGATTGATAATAGGTTCATAATGTGACAGTGGAGTAGCTAAAAGCTGACACAGGTACCTGTCCAACATGCAACATACCAACAAGCAATTCTATTTAAATTGTGTTTTGAAAATGGCCGGGTTCAGTTAATCGATGAAAATAATAAATTTTTATGACTTGCTTTATTGTTCCGATACATTGCTTTTCAGAAAGATTAGAAATAAGGTTTACTTAAGTTCCGATATACTTCCGTTATAAAAATACAGAACTAGATGCGGAAAAGTATGCGGAACTTCCGTGATTACAGAAGCGGAAGCAGCACATGACTACTGAAAGTAATGAAAGATATTAACGTAATAAACAGTTTTAATCCACTGCTATAATGATAAAGTTATTTGCGTTTAAATGCGAAATTGATTTTTAAGACAGTCGCCATTTATATTTTCAGAGAGGCATTTATTATTATTATTTCTTAGAGGTATGGAGATTTAAATTTTCGCTGGCTTTAAAACACAATTACATATTTGTTTCTGTTGATGTTTAACTGTAAAAGGGTAATATAAAGCGCTACAAAATAAATTTAATTCTTCCAACATCAAAACTCAACTCGAACTGTTAATTTTACGGTCGAATGAAACTTTGTCAAATCATGATGATTGGGCATTTCGTTTTCGCAACTCATCAACCCCAAGTAGAAGCATATTTCCCCATTTGTAGTTCTCTATTATTTGACTTTCTGTGTGTATTTGGTAACCGCAAATTACGTGCTTTGGGGCAAGCGTTATTATGTTGTTATTAGTATTAGGACGGGAGTTGAGAGAACTCCAATCGATACACATTATGTTTGTACAGCGGGGACGTATGTATGTTCCCGATAGTTAACGAGTTTTTCACCATACAAAAATTACTAGGTGGGTAATAAATTTCATTTCAAAACATCACTTCGTTTTATAAAAATAGCGACAGATTCATTTTTGATGCCGTGCATATGAACTGATGTGTTAGATTTCTAGTCTTTAGAACTGAATAATAAACACGAAAACAAAAACACTGGTATGCAAGGGAATAAAAAGTGGGGAAAGAGCGAATATAAAGATAGGAGACAAAAATTAGAAGAAGTGGCTGATTGTACGTACCTAGGAAGTCAGATAAGTCAAGACGGAAGTAGTAGTAGTAGAGATATAAAGCAAAAGGATAGCGCAGGGTCGAGTCGCCTTCAATAAAAAGAAGTCACTTCTATGCTAGCGACCGGTTAATTTAGAAATTCGAAAAAGATTGTTAAAGGTGTATGTTTGGAGCGCAGCGCTGTACGGATGCGAAACATGGACGGTAGACGTTGCGGAAAAGAAAAAGGTTATAAACGTTCGAAATTTTGTGTTACAGGCGAATGATGGGGATACCGTGGATAAAGAATGTTAGAAATGAAGAGATGTTAGAAAGAATAGAAGAACAGAGAACTCTATGGAAGTCGAAAGATAGATAAGATGTGTTGGTAGGACACCTTCTCAGGCGTGAAGTATCCTATAGGCACGTCTTGCAGCATCTCTAAACCCAGAGCCGCATGGCCTAGAAGTTTAGATGATTCCTTAGCATTCTGGAGGACGGCAGTTCGATTCCGGGTCCGTCCGCCTTGGTCCAAGTTTTCCTATGATTTTCTTAGATCACTTAGACAAATGCTGGGGCAGTAATATTCCACAGACTGTATTTCATTCTCATCTGTCTTCATTTCGTCCGTCTCACCTTTCTCACCCGAACCTGAAAAGAGGCTGAAGGACCTTCCGCCCTATCCTCCCGCGTAGTCCGGAAAGACTCCCCACTCACCAGCATTAGTGGCTGGTGGGAGTGAAACAGCCAAAAATTTTTTGCATCCCCAACATCAATCGTCCTACTCTCGGGGGAGAGTTTTTCGTACCTCGCATGTGTTGTATATGGAAAGCGAAGGAACAACTGACGAAGTCAATAAAATAATCATTTTTTATTCTCTTCAATGGAATCGGTTATTTTGTATAATTTTTAAGGGTTTATTAGAACTCTACCTTAAACGAGAAAGGCGTATTTTAATTCTAATCATTACCAAAACCTGTCAATTTATTGCCGTGTGTTTTTTTCGTTTAAGTATATAAAATAAATTTGAATTAGTACAATATAATTTTACAGAGGGGCATTTATAATAATAATAGTCCATAGTTATAGGTATGTATTTATATCGAACCTTAGTCGAGGGTCGAAGGACTCACGTAATGGGCGGTGCCAAGTCATTTTTAGGGGGTTATTACGTCCTGTCTAACGGAACAGCTGTATTTCCGCTTTGACCGGATATTCTGTAGTTCCTACACTACACGAACTCAATTTAACTAAATCATTCTATCGTCTTAGTTCTTTCTATTGATTGCAATTGTATTTTTCAAAACATGATCATTACTTTAAAGTGAATTAATTTTTACCACTACAAATAACCTCAAATTCGTGAGGAAAAATTGTTGTTGGTGTTACGCCCTCGCCGAGAATCGAACCCGGGTCTCTGATTTTACACACCATAGCTCTGGCGCTAAGCTACGAGAGGTATTAGCAGCAACAACAACAACAACACGTACCTAACTAAGTACGAACCAATGTATAATCATTATAAACAGCATTAATATTATTAACTGTTACTTATCTATTATGTGTAAGAATGGACGTATCCTGTTCCTTGTTTCCACTTGGGGCTGTAGTATTTGCCACGTTTTGTTAAGTTAGAAAATGCTTCAAGAGTATAGACAAAGTGAAAAGAGATAATCGAATAATCGTAAGGGTTGCTTAGATACGCAAAATATCAGGGTCGGCTTTATAATTGTCAGATTGCAATTATATCTTTAGTCATGCGTCTTTGTTTTCCTAAATTCCTGAGAATGTTGAACATTCTTTAAAGTCCGATGCTGGTAACATGCTCAAATTCTGGATGTTTGCATCTCTTTCTGTTACACATATAGTAATGTTACTCCTTTGTCTTTATTAGTGTCCGCTGCAATTCCTACCTGACATCTCTTTTCTATGTTTAAAATATTCCCTACAACGCCTGTCGTGAGTGAAAATAGGCGTTCTGTCAGCAACCGCTCTATAATCTAGCTAGTAAGTTGAAAGAAGAAAGGAAATACATCAGTTTATTGCGAACTACGCCAATTCTGAACGTTCCAATCATATTATTGTTATTAAATACATAGCTATATGACAAATATTTAATTTAGTACTTAATGTTACGTTTACATCCACGCCACAAATGAATAATCATATCGAGATAATACTATTTTTATGTCAATAAAGGTCTTTAGGTCAGCATTTCTTTCAGTAAATAACATGGCTCCGTTTAATTTGGTAATGTTTATTGTTCTTACGTCTTTAAATTGTTTCCTGTGTCTTGTCACTCCAACCGATATTTTAAACGAAATTGAATCCAACGAGAATATTAGCCGGTCGTGTAGTTTCGAAAGTGTTTTTGCGGAATTTTACGACACCCAGGGCACAAGCTATGAATCGGTTATCAACGGATGTCTTACAAATACTTCATTTGTTGTAAAGGACGTGACCCACATCGAAATTTCTCTGCAATACATCCCTCGATTAGAAAGGCGATCGATAGGAGACCTGCCGGAATTGGAATCGATTTTATTCATTAAATCCGGAATTGAACATGTGGAACCCGGTGCATTTTACAATCTACCGAAAATCAAAAACATTTCGTTCGTTTTCAATGATTTTCACGAAGTGAAACGGGGAATCTTTAACGACCTTCCGGCAAATAAAATCTTAATAAGTAGCCCGGTGCTGACAAACATTGAAGAGTATGCTTTTGCTGATATGAACAATCTATCAACCATTGCCATACATTACAGTCGAATATTGACTTGGAACAGAAAATGGTATGGAGAATCTAAGACATTGACGACGATTGACTTCCGATTTGGAATTTTAGAAGCTTTACCAGCAGATGCTTTTCATGGATTTCCAAATTTGAAATGTATCTCGTTTAGAAACAATAGGCTACATACCATAGAAAATGGAATATTTCAACGTACGTATACATATCTCCTTTTATTCTACTATACTTTCATTTTAATTTTGTAAACCTTTATGGAACCACAAATTAAAAGCCAAAAAGATAAAGCATTCTCTGCACAAATGTGTATTTTTTCAATACAATACATTTAGTTGAAGATTCATCAAACCCACTTCATATACATATATTTATACTAAATGTACTTGTTTTGGATGTACTATCAAGCTTTATCATTTCAAAGCCATAAAATGCACGATTACAAATAATATTTGTGTTGTTTTGTTCCAGATTATAAGAATCTTGATTATTTAGGGTTAAATTCTAACAACTTATCGGAATTAAATCCAAGTGCATTTTCTAAATCAACTATAAAAACTTTAAATATTGAGAAAAACAGGCTAAACTATTTACCCCGGGATTTATTCGCAAAAATAGCTGTNTTGTATATAATTTGTGTTCACAAAGGAACGACGCTCGCCCCGGGAGGTTGCACAATGCGTCGGGACGCCAGCATCGTCGACGGGTTTCAATGCCGTTACACGTTCACTCGTATCGCTGTATCCTAATAACAACGCACGCATGGCTTGCTGCAAATTCAAGTGACATGTTCCAGATTATAAGAATCTTGATTATTTAGGGTTAAATTCTAACAACTTATCGGAATTAAATCCAAGTGCATTTTCTAAATCAACTATAAAAACTTTAAATATTGAGAAAAACAGGCTAAACTATTTACCCCGGGATTTATTCGCAAAAATAGCTGTTGCAGACGTTTATTTATGGGGAAATCCATGGACCTGTTCCTGTCTGGATTCGATCAAAGAATGGCTTAGAAACACTAACGGAAGCATTCACGACAACTACAACTGCATAGACTTCCGAAACCCTGTATGTGTTGCAACAAAAAGCAGTGTATGTTTAGAAGAACTTAACCACGAAGCAACGAAGACTTTTTTTAGGAAATTCTCACAGAAACGGCTTTGTGTAGTACCTGTAACGTTGCTTTAAAATGCATAAAATCCGTCCAATAGGGGAGTACATAAATAATGATAAAATATGTAGTTTCACTACACAGTAGCTTCATCAGGTGAAAGTAAACAATTATTATATTAGAGAATCATTACTGTAATGTTACAAATAAAATTATTTCTTGAAAATTTTATCGATTATTGTACAGTAAGAATTTATTTTTATTATAAATACGTTTCAACAAGTGACGATCTCAACAATTAACAGAATTTCCAAAAGCGTGGATAGTAAACATTAAAGTTTGTAGCCCATTTGACCTGGTTAAGGCCCTTTTTTTTACGAAAAATGTCAATATTGAAAGGAATATCAAACGCTAAACTATAGACCCCATAGGCCCATAACGGAAATCAATAATTGGAATTTGTAGTTTTATTCTTATGTACTATTATTATCATCATCATAAGGTCGTCAGTCCTAAGAATGATTGGACACGCACCCACTCTTTCCTATCCTGAGCAAATCTTCGCATTTCCCCAAAACTAAACTAAACTAAATGCTTAACTATTTGCGAACAGTAATCTAATCTAGGTCTACCTCTAATCCTCCTAACTCCTGTTTCTGCCTGTAATGTGTTTCTGACTAGACCTTCATGTCTGAGAAGGTGTCCTATCTCGCCTCTTCCTTATTGACTTCCATAGAATCCTCTGTTCTCCTACTCTTTCTAATACCTCTTCATTTCTAACCTTCTCTATCCACGGTATTCTCATCATTCGTCTGTAACATCACATTTCGAACGTTTCTAACCTTTTCCTTTCTGCCGCGCCCACCTTCTATTACTAGTCAAGACAATAATTCAGTCGTGTGTTAGATGGTTACTAGTTGTTACATTTTACTGTACAACAGTCTATTTCACAGCAATCTGTCCAGAATGATTTATTGGTACCAACCCCCTCAGTCTATGTTCTATTTGCCGATTAATGTTTAACAACATTAGTTCGGATGGTATGTTTAAAATTAGTATAAATCAAAGGGCACAGGACCCTTGTCTCTCCCTCGGGAGTATCAATGTCGCCAGGGAATGAGGCTCCCGTCGTATTATCAAATTACCACCGCCCGCCCTCTCGCTTTCCGTTAATCTTTTTCCAATGATGCTGTCACCCTCTACAGCAAAAATATCATGGCCATATATTGAGAGGTAAAGAAAAGGCCGATAAAAAGTATTTTCGGCTTAAGGTGGTTCTTTGTTATTTTAGTTGAAAAATTCTTTTCAAGCAATCAGAAAATCACAAAATTACAGAGCTCATAGGAATGGATACAATTTGATGATAGATAAAACTTTTATTAAAGCAACTATGTACAAATGAAAACAAAATTGATACTTTGAAATCAACAACTTATTTTAGTCAATTTTCGTGAAGCGTAAACAAATTTTTTACAATGGAATATGGTAAAATAGCCAGAAAATCCATCCAATACTAAACTTATATAGGTTATATTTTTTGTTGAGTTTCAAATACGACACACTTGCTAAAGAGACTGAGAACAATGAATTTAAAAACAAAGCATGGAAATGAATAAAAGTACAAGTCATTTTTTCACTTTTTGAATACGGGAAAGAAAGAAAAAAGTGTTTTATTCTGGTCCGTCGCTATTTGTATTTTTTATCATTTTTGTAATTAAGTTTAGTTGTTAGTTATTATTCATGCTTTTATTTAAGCTATTAGACTAATTTATATGCATTTTTAGTAAGCTCTTTCAAATCATCTTTATTCTCAAAGTTGTTAATATTCAAGTTCCAGGTATAGTTTGCAATAATGTCATTTAAAACCATTTAAGCTGGACTTTCCAAATTTCAGTTAAGATGCGTATAGTTCAATATTTGCTATTATCATACATCTCAGAAATTCATCTATTGCTGGTACTACCCGCATTCCAATCTTATAATAAGTTGTTATAAATCAGAAGTTAGGATTATCCGTCCTACTTCACCATTTTTTGGTCCTTCGAGCCGGATCTATCAGTTCCGGATGCAGCAGTTCATACGTGCGGTCAGTTCACAAAAAAAAGAAAGACAATAATCGAGTGCAATATATGGTCGGAAGTTAGGATTGTCCGTCCTACTTCACCATATTCTTTTTTTTTTTATTCCGGAAACATCATGAAAAAAGAAATCTGTAAGTTGGGTAGCTCATTCCACCCGCTTTCTGTAACTTGGAAGAAACGAATATAAAAAACAACCACATGAAGTGGGTCGACACCAGCTTATTGTTTCGCCTGACATTCTTGTGAAAATGGCCAGAATTTCCCGCGTTAGTGGCTTTCCTCGTCGACAGGTCAGCGTGGTGAACATCATTTGCGCTTAACGAAGATAGACATGAGCATTGGTCGTCTTGAAATAACTGTGAACGCGACGCTGTTTAAATTTTCATCGGCAACAAAAACAGGTTAGTGGAATTCGGCAACGTGGCGGCAGTAAACCGTCCATACGGCGTAAACTTTACAACGACCGATCCAAGTCCACAATTTTCAAGTGACACTTTGATGGACAGACGAATGGACGGATCGGTTCGCTGCCATCGCATCACTATATCCATTATGCACGAGCTTCGACGAGGCAGAAGGGCAAAGAGGCTGAGGTCAATTGCCCATTTGCCAATTTTCACGGATAATTCGACAACAAGGAACGTTGCTCAACTCATGTCCCACACTCAGAACTTTTAATAAGAAAAATTAAATACACCATTATTACTACCTACTCACTCCAGGTGGGCGTGCAGGGGACCGAGTAGGTGTCAGATGTGTAACGTAAGTGGCCTCTTGAGGTATTTAGTATCAACTCTAGTATCCGAGGCTATCTTTGCAGAGAGGCTACACAACGTCTACTCTTAAAACTAGAGTCATCCGCAGTCAATCTCACTAAATTGTGGAAATGCCCTAGCAGCAGATGTGTGGTAGAGGTTCGCAAAAATGTCCTCGCCCGTTACATTCATTAAAGGGGGCCGAGATATTCCCGTCTTCTGAGTGTCAAGAGTCGTACCAGTGTCAGGGTGGAAATAATCCAAATGGGAAGCGAATTCATCCGTCGAACATCCGACCAATGATGACAGCTGGTACTTTGGGAGGTCAATGAGCCCCGGATAGAAATTTCTTGCCTTTCAGAGTGTTTTGAGGTTAGACTAATAGTGGCAGCCGTTTCCTCCTACATGCTGAAGAGAAGAAGCAGGAACCTCGACGCCTGGTAGGAATCAGGTAGGTCTCGTACCCACCAGAGGCTTCTAGGGAGTCTTATTCACTTTCCAGGAGATGCTGGTAGCGGTAACATCGGCCACCATGCGCTAATTGAGCTTATGTCAATTTCGCACCCATGGAGGTGGTGGTGGGTAAATCGAAAGGTAGGGATCACCACGTTAAACAAATAAACCGAGAGCAACGCCCTTAGATACGTCACTGCGTACTCCTATAGGATTATAACGATAAATTTACCATTACATCATAAGATGTGTCATTTAGCCCAGATGATGGATTTAAGACCATAATATTTCCATGTTCACTAAGGAATTCTCTTTAGTAAGTAGGCAAATTTAACGATTCCAAGTAAAATGTAAACCTACCAAGAAGCTGACGGGAAAATTTCTCCAGGATTTTGAATCCACATGTATATACATGCGTATATCTTCGTTAAGTTTACATATGGATGTGGATCATGCATGTTTTGGTTTCATTAGCGCGATTATCATGGGTCGCACTAAGACTGAGCTTCGTTTGCTGTAGAGTAATTTTATTATTTATAATTAGTCGCATTAAGAAGAAAGTTGGCCGCGACAGGGAGGAAAGAGGTAAATATCAACGCGCAAAGTTCATCAAGTTGAAAATAGATTGGTCACACGGTGGAACAAAAGATTAAATGAGAGGTTATTTAAAGGCTTAGTTTTTCGGAATGTATACATATAAACTCTTCAATAAATTCATGATTGTTGACAAGTAAATGGTTGGTATAATTTGAGACTGTTTTTAATAATGTGATCTTTGTGTTCATTTATTCGTCTCTTTAAATTTCTACTGATTGTTCCTACGTATCTAAAAACATTCACATAGATCTTTTTAAAGACTTTATCGTTGCAGTATAGTGACTACGATACTCTGCAAACAGAAGAAAAACTAATTATTTTTACTTTTTATTATCTTCAGTTATTAATTACTCACTGATGAGGCATTTCATTGAAAAATCAGTTGAAGGTTGTGGTCTGTATTCTGTCGAAACTGCCAGACGTGGATCACGATTTCGATCTTTTTGGATTTCATCAGCGCATCGCAGACAGCTCCGACACAACACAGACCAACTCTCACCTGCTGTCTTAACAGTGCGTTTTAGAAAATACCATAAATGGCGCAGTAAACGCCATCTATAGTAGTTGAAGGACAGTAAGTACCTATTTGATTTATTCTGTCTCCAGGCAAATTCAATTCGTAGTTTAAACAAAAACAAAATTCAGTTTTTACAATAGAAGCCTCTTTAATTCTATAGACCACCGTGCGGTGCGCCTTTTAGTCTGTTTTGCAGTTCTTGTTTTCTTCATTCAGCCATGGCCGTTGTTTTTCTTCGGCAAAAGTCTCGGAGAAACAGCGAAGAAGAAATATAAAGTTTAAACGTGTTAAACGAGAGAGGGTTTAGCATATCTGCAGTTTATCCCCGAGGACACTTTGTCACCTCCGGCCATGCATTATACAGCGCGGATCTTGTTAATTATTACTTGCTGTCGACAACTTGCGAGATTCTATGTACAAACGCGCTCACAAACCTACATAGGCGTCGCGACGACGACGGAAGCGTCGTTAGTGCCGTCCTCTACGTCGTTATGTTTAACAGAGCTTGACATCTAACAAAGTAGTTCTCGTTAAAAAAATGCAGAAACGAAATTGGATTCAACGTGTCTTTAGTTTCTATTCTTACGAGAACAGTATGAAATAAATATTAAAAAAAATATTGGTTTATAAATCTGGCGAAAACTGAGTTATATGTAATTAAAGAAAAGTAGAAGAAGTCTCTTTGGATATCTAGAACGTCCAGACACTCCGGAAAGAACAGTAAAGACATATGAACAGTAACATCTTGTGGAGCATAAAAGGCTACAGTCTATTTCAATTTGTTAGAATTGTGACCTTGAAGAAATCTGCGCGAAGATAGAAA